ACCCCCCCAGGGGGCGGGGGTACTTCCAACTTCTGTCTCCTTATCGAAACCGAAAGTTCCGAGAGCCTCCTCGGGTGATAAGGTCCCCCTCGGTCGACTTGTAAGGATCTGCCGAGAGTCCGGAAAAATTGCCATCCCATTTTCCCGGAATCTTTACAAAAATCTTCACCATCGGATTTTACCCATTCGTTATAAAATCCTCAAGACTGGACTTATTAAGGATCTTTCGAAATTCCGGAATAATTACCACTCCATTTTTTCAACAATTCAACAAAAAAAAAAATTCTCTCTATCGGACTTCCACCTACTCGGGATAAAATAAAATTCCGAAGGCAACTGAAAAGCACCAGAAGTATTTTTCTAAATGACGAGGCGGCAGAATCAAAGTGAACCCCGAGCAAACTGGATTCGTTAACCGAAGTCCCCGAGGAGGATACTCGTAGGAATTCGCTCGTCGGCAGACTTTGGAAAACACGGAGGGGATCGTGAAAAAACGTCTGTCGGGTCTTATGAAAATTTTTCGAAAAGTTTCCAAGAGGGTTCCCCCCCTTTCGATGAGGTTCGACTTCGGAATCCTGCAAATGCGAAGGGGACTTATAAAAGTTTTCCCGAGATCGCGATAAAATCCCCCCCGCGAACCAACTTCTCCCGACCGAGATTTTAACGCGTCGATATAAAATTTCGAAATTCCCCGCTTAAACAAAGAGCGGCCTTCTCGAAAGGGTATCATTTAATTACTGCATTTTTCAAATTCTAACCCGGACATTAAGCGCAAGGCGATGCTAACGGGCGAATTATCCAGAGCTCGTTGAGAATTCCAATTAAATCTCGAAAAAATTATCCCGACCGTTAGAAAAATTCAGATCGACAAACGTTTCCAGAAATGCCTCGCCGGTAGGTGAATTCCAAAAATCCCGAAAGTATTCCCCCGACCCCTTCGCAAACACTGCTTTCCGGGCCTCCGAAAACAGGGAGAGACCTTCGAAAAAAAAAACGATTTAAAAAATGCATAGAAAAAAAAATAGTCCACCCCATATTCCAGGAAAGACCTCCCGAATTCGAGGAAGGGAGATGGTAAAAACCCATTTTAGAGGGAGAAGGAAAACCCGGGTGAATCGAGTCGATCTTACTAAAATTACCCTTGATTCCGACGGAAAAACTTTAAATTGATCCGGGGCTCCCGAGTCCAGACTCCGTTATTGAATTCCAAGATTTCCCCCCTGGCAAGAAATCGGAACCTCTTCGAGAATCTACCCATAGCCTTAAAAGAAGAAAAAGTCGCAAGGAAGAAGAAAAAAAAAAAGACGAGTGAAATCCCAGCGAAAGTCCTCGAGCGTATAATATTTCAAGGGAGTAAAATGGCTAATTCTCGCCAAGTTCCATTGTTTGCCTCGAAAGTCACGTCTTCCTTTGGAGACGATTTGGGCCCAGTCCCGGAAACGAGAACGGTCAAAGGGGCCGACGAAGGGTGGTCATCGCCGTTCCGGACACCCGGACGAGGACAGCTGCCGAGAGCACCCCCTGTGACCACGTGCCAGGACGGCGCCTCCACCGCCGGCTGCGTCGCGAGGTGTCAAATGTCACGTGTCGCTGTCTGGTGACATTAGCGGGGTGCCCTCGTCCAAGGGGCCGCACACGGGGGAGGGTGCACCCGGGGCTCTATATATACTCAGAGAGGAGGAAATCGGGGAAATGGTTCAGGGGGTGCGCCACCCCGGAGCGACGTTGACTCGGCGTCGACTACATTTTCTACCCCAAACCAAAGAAAAAAAAAATACGGTCCGTCCGGACGATAGACTTCCCATGGGGCGAAATTGTCTCCAGGAATGAAATCGATAGGGTACTCCGCGAGGAAAGCGCGGATCGGCCGACTCGCCGTAAAGCTCATATTCCCGTAGACTCAACGCGGGAAAATGAGCTGTCCCTCACTCGCGGGTTAATAGACGACCCGCGGTATTAATTGCGCGATCGGTCCGCAAGGAACTCGGATCGTTTTTAAAACGCTTGCAAATCACCCGGAGCCCCTCCGATAAATAGAGGAGCCGCGAAATCCGGGCCGTTCCACGTGGATATACCGGACGGCATATCCGCGGATTTATCAGCCACTAAATAAAACGCGGCCAATATCGGCGGATGTACGAGGCGGCGTAGAAACAGTTCAGAGGGACTTCGCGACCCCTCCCCCATGAGCCATAACCTCGAAATAAATCTCCCGCGTTCCCATGACCGCCGAAGACCAAAGAATCCCCTCCCCTAAGAAAAAAACATAAAACACCCAGTAATCGCGACAAGGTCCAGGGGAGAATCTCATAAAAGTAAACATTTTGAAAAATTCCGAAAAAATTCGCGGCCCCTTCCCCTAGCGCGGCATTCGCGAATTTAGTGGGCACTAAATAACGCGACCAATAGCGGGGGTAATAATGATCGCGGGGAGATTATCGAAATTGGCCAGATGCCAGGAGGCCCTTCCCCCCCATTGGAGGCCCCCCTGCCGAGCGTACGCGTGAAATGCTTTCTACTCGGGGAAAGCGCTTCCATCTCTCCTCTTCCCCCCTCGCCCGCTATCTTCCTCTCTTAGCCGACAATCGCGCGAATCGCGGGGGGTCAACGGCCCTCCATTGGCCGCTTTCCGTAGCGACCTTTTACGCAACCGGTCACGCACCTACGACCTTCTTCCGGAGTGGACCCTCCTCCCCCACGGAACCTAAAACGCGGTATCTTCCCATAGAACCGGAACCCCTGAACGAACGGACAGAAACGAAACGCCGGCCGACCGCGGAAGAGAGCGCGCGCGCTCGGCGGACCGTCAACGTTCCGCGAGCGGCGGAACGGCCGGAGAACGGAGCCGTGACGCAACGCCGAGGAGCCGGATCGATGTTTATTCAAGTGCGCCGCAAAGAAAAGCGAGGGAGGATATTCCCGCGGGTACGGCGGGAACGGCGCTATTGGACGCATTAGGGAAAACGCGTGCCGCGACGGCGACCTCGGATTCCAACGATCCACTCGAATCGTCCGAATTACCCAAATTTGGGGGACGGGCGCTGTAACGCGGAATTACGGCACACCGGGACGCGGAATCTCGAGGGGAGGATCGTGAAGTTTACCCCGATTACGTCGTCGCTCGAAGTCGACCGAAGTCGAGGGTTAAGGGGGGGTGGATCGAAGCTTTGAATTAGAAGCCGAGGAACGCGGAGGATGGTCAAAGGCCCTGCGTCCCGACGCGGTTTCGCGCCAAACACGGAGAAAATTCCTCGGGTCGTTCCAACGCGTCCAGCGACCAATTCGGGACTATTTGGTACACGGGAAGGTAGGGTGGCACGCATGGGACGCGTTATCGGAGAGATGGGCTCGGTTCGGCCGAACGTCTTCCCGATACCCGGGCAGACGTTCGCGGCGCCGGGATGAAAGACCGAGAGAAAGAGATAAATAGAGACGGAAAGAGGAGGAGAGAGGGACGCGGGGCCTCCTTTATGCGCTCTACGTGGGCTCGGCACAGTTCGGCATAAAAGAGGTACAGGGGGGGAGGGCGAGGGGCAAATGTACCGTCATTCGTTTAGCGGCCATCACCCACGCGCCGAGTCACCCGACTCGCTCTCACGTGGGTAGACACAATGAATATGTACATATTGGGACAAGGATAGGTCGACAGCCGGCCTGTTAGGTACGAGAGCAGGTACCTGTTCTATCTCGGGGTCCACAGGGGAGAGAACGCGGAAAGCCGAGGAACCGAGGCGCGAACAAAATTCGGGATTAAGGCTGGACCGTGTAGGGCCCCGCGACCCCCGATCGCGATTTCCCTTGAACCGAGCCACGCCATGGGGAAACGCTTAAGACGAAACCTCTACTTCGTGTCGCGAGGCGCAACTTTCATTCGGGACTTTTCCCTGCTCCGCGAGTCTTTGCGCCAAGAAATCGCGACGATTCCGCGCAAGAAACCGAGTTCGAGGGACCCCGCCTCGATGAAAGGGTCCCAGAATAGAATTTCAGAAAAAAGAAGAAAAAACTGTCCTCTCGCGTGCCACCCTTAAAAGCTTCCCTCCGGCACGCGAGCGAGTCCCTCGTCATCCCCAGGCCTCGTTTCAATCCCGGGGTGGCGATTACTCGACCGCGTCACGTCATCGCCAGGGTAACAAACGTCTCCGCCCCCCGCGACCCGTGACACGTGTACTTGGCGCGAGATTCTACCCCCTGTCCGAGTAAAAATCGATCAATGACCGAAAAATCGTCAAAAATCCCCTAGAACGAGGAAATTCTCTTCAAGAAACTGTCCATTCATCCCATGAGAGTCGATCGCCCCCGAATGATAATTTCCGCCCTCCCCCCGCGAACATGCTAATGGATGTCAATAAATCGCAGTTAGGACCGGACTACCAAGCGGGACGATCTCCGGCCAATCGTGAATCACGCGTTACCGTAATGGTGGCGACACGGGGGAGAAGGGGGTCAGGTGGTTCGAGTCAGGGGTGTCAACCCCCCACCCACCGGGGGGGTCGGTCGTCGCGGTCGTCCGAGGATCCGCTTACACCGTACTCTCGGAGAATTTAATTAACGGCCTCTGCGCTGCACCCTTCCCTCTCTCCCCGTCTAATTCTCTCGGTGATTATGGGGTTTGGATGGGGCTGCAAGGGGGTTGCGGGATTGGATGAGTCCGTGGTGCGAGGTTGCCAGGGAGGAGAGGAGGTCAGGTGGGATAGGTCAAGGTTGTTCGGAAAAGGGGAAAGTAGTTGGGGTAGGCCATGGCGCGATATGGATCAAGTTTATCCTGGTCTTCTGGCACGGTTCAAGATTCTACCTCGATTGGAGACCGGGATAACCCCGCGCTCAATGATAAAAAAAAAAAATTACTTGCATCTCCATAGAGCACTCGGGACCCGAGGAACGCATCCAGGAAGAAAATCCCGCGAGAGGCGCGGAGTAAAGTTATGCGCTAGGGTTGGCTTAACCAAACCCCACGAAGTAGGGCCCGATCGAACGTAATCGCGACTCACTTGGGCACTCACCTCGACCAGGGTAATGAGTATGATGAAGAGGGGTGGCGGGCAGCAGGTGTAGTGGTCCGCGTAATACTTCCGGTCGCGCTCTTCCGTCAGGAACTCGTCACCGATCATGCGGACCATCCTGAAACCAGGAAACACGAAAAACAATGAGAATTTCAGCTCCATCGGTTCACCTCGAGCGAGGACACCTGTTCGTTCCTCGTGGCCGGCCCGGGGACCGAATTAAGGCCCAGGTGAGGGACGAGTCATCGGCGGTAACCTGGAGGTAACGCGACGCCATTAATTACGCCCACGAGGTCGCGCCACCGTCCAAAACGCCCCTGATTAAGGGGCCGCAGGTAGATCCCCCCAGCCACCTGTCACGCGACGCGATTAAACTTGACTAATCGGAACCCTGCAGGTGCATCGTTGCCCTGCTAACCCCTAAACCTTAAATTTCGGGAGAAACCAAAAAATATAAAAAAAATCTTGCGGTCCGACGATCGTCTCTCACCTGAGATACCCGAAGAGGTCGCGACCTGGGGCAGGCGACCTTGCCGATCGGTGACACCTGCGCCAGCAGGTCACCGAGGCGTAAGGTGGCCGGTACTCGGCTTTACGCTCGAGACGGCGTGAAATTACGAGAGAGAAGGAATACTCGTGGACGGGAAGATACCCCCCTCACCTGGCGACCGCAGGTAAGAGACATTACCGGTAACCCAAGTTCCCCCGATCCAGAGCTGACAGAGTTCCCGATTTCTTAAAAAAAAATCAACCTCGATTTTTTTTTAATCACGATTCTACTCGCCATCTCAATTGGCCTTCTTACATCTCATTCCCGCTCCTGCCCCTTGATTTATCCCACCGCCTTTCTCCGTCTCGGGGTTCCTTTGTGCGCACTTGGCGCGAAGCTCTACCTTATCGGCTCCCTCATTATCTCCCAGGCGGCGATGAAAGGGCCGACGGGGTGAGAAACTGGAGATAGGGGATGATCGTCTTACATGAAGACGAGTCGAGAGCCCTTGGGGGCGGTTCCGGGGGAGGGGGGGATTAACTTTGATCTCAGGGAGGCCAGGGGGGCGGCAATTAACTCGCAAGCGGGATAGGGGTTGTCATGTGTACGGTGCAGCTGTAAAAGACCGATTATGGGAGAGGTGTCGGGGGGGGGAGTAACGCGAGGGTCTAATCAGCCGAACACGAGGGGTGGATTTTGGGCTCGGGAGTTTACTCACTTTTCGCTCGTTTCGGATTGCGGGGGGGCGGTGATTAACCCGGAAATTGGGTGAAGAGCTGCCGAGAGTGGGTAGCGAGAGAAATAAGAAATAGAAAAAATAAACAAGGAATTTTCAAAATACGCATTCTACCGTCAAGGGGTTAACGCGAACAAGGTAATTTCTTTTCTTTCCTTCCCTTCTGTTTTCGATCCCTCGATGCGGGACCGACTTAAGGAAATACACATCACATTCCCCCCTGTGCGACGTTAAGGGAGGTCGGGGTAACGGTAACGATCGGTAAAGCATCCCCTGGCACGAGGGGGTTGGCGTTGCGACGTCCCCGAAGGGAAGATCGGTCTCCCGCACGGTTGCGCCCTCCCCCGCCCCGCGGTCAGGGGATGGGGGTATCTGAATATTTCTCCTTTTCGAGGATGGGTGGGCCGAGGCGCAGCGACCCCTCTGATCGAAAAGCCACCCCCGCCGTTCTTCCCGTCTCTCTCTATTTTTCGCGGAACCGAAGGCGAACAACCTGGCCCGGTACCATCCCCCGGGAAACGCGAGAAGCCACCCTCCCCACGTATACCCTGGGCTTTTCGGTCTCGGTTTACCTATTCCTACGTGGGCCGAATGTTACGATCTCGCTCCCACCCTGCACCCCTGTTTCAGGGCCGAAGGAATTTAGGACCCCCGTGAGGCGGCGGTCGGCTTGCCGGCGGGTCTCGCCCTCGAAAAATGCGACTTACCCGGCTAACGGCGCAAGATACGAGAAAAAGTAATAGGACAAACATTGCTCGGTAGGGTGTTCCGACCAATTTTCCAGGGGGGCGGTTTTTCGATACCATGCACAGTTCGCTGAGAAACCCGGGATTTCCGGAGCAACGAGGATGGCACCTCCCGCGGGCCCGACTGTTACGCCCTCCCGGAAACAGACCCCGTCATCCGGTCGAACGGGACGAGATATCGCGATAACCGGTCAGGGAAATATTGTTTGTTATGTCGGTGGGAACCAGTTTCGTAGGGGACATTTTTGTCTGTCGCGTGTCGTTGCGGCAACAGGGCCGAGGGAACGAGCGGACCGCTCGAGTTCTCCGGTGCCATCCCCTTGGGAAACACGAGAAGCCACCCCCTCGTATAGTGCGCCGCAGCAAGGGGGTGGCTTTTCTGTCTCGGTTTACGTATTCCTACGTGTACCGAATTTTATGACGCCGGCTTATTGCATTACCCCCAGTTCCCTGGGGCCGGAAATTCGGGGTTCCTGGAGAGGACCATCGGAGTCCGCGACATCGGCGAAGGAAGTCCTGATTTCGTGGATTCGCGACCTAATCCGAGTTAATCCGAGTTAACCCGAGTTAATCTTATTTAATCCGCGTCAACTAAAATTATCCAAGTCTAATTGAAGTGGGAAAAATGCCTTGTTACTCGGTCCCGGCGCGGCGCGCCGCCATTCCGAGCCGGAAGAGGTATATCGGTGGCCTTCGATGATGTACGGCTATATGGTGAACCACGTACACCGACTGTACTTCCGGCGTAATCCATACTAATTGCACGCAGGGCGCAGCGCCGGTAAATGCGGTTCCGCAGTCGCATTGTAGGAATCGGCCGTCGCGCTTACCGATTCCGCGCAAACGGACCGTAAAGGCGAGACCCTCGGTCCGAGTATACAATATGTATACCTTGTTACACCTTGTACGTACCCCCAGGCCCATCTTACTATTATCTTAAAATTTATCAAATCAGGAAAATTCGTCTCGACGTGGCAGTCGTTAAACGGAGCGCAGTGAGCAAAAAATAGACATTTCAATTCCAAGTCGATGCATCCCGCGAGTATTTGGATGAAAGTGATCTCTCGGTGTCCTTCTATCTTCTGCTTGAGAAAAAAAAAAAAAAACGGAGCGATCGCTTTCGTGGATTTCGAGCCGGCAAATTGCGGCTCGAATGGGTAATCAGGCACCCCGAGGACGAGGGCTTAATGCCACCGACCAAAAACCCTTGCGAATCGCGATCGCGAGAGCACTCGGACATGCTCCTCCTCGTGTAACGTTTCTCATTCCCATCCGGACGAGACGCGGTGGTCGAGACTTCGATCTCAAAAAAAAAAAAAAAAAACTCAAAATAAATCCCATATGAAAAACCGCGAAAAATTTAGAAATATCTTAAAAATAACCACTATCGGGAAACTCGGTGAGGTCTCGCGCCAAGCGCAAAAAAAAACGGAGAAAGAAAAAAAATACGCGAAAAATCGAGGCATTCCGTGCAGCAAAAATTAAATTGGAAATTAAAGCCCGGGGGCAGAGACGGAGATCCCACAGGTCGGAGAAGTTCGTTTCTGGTCCCTTCGCCGGTTTTTCTGGGGCCCTCCGTTAAACGAGCGTGCCCCTTCTCGGCACATCGCGGCTCGAATGGGTAATCAAACACGCCGGTGCCGGGGTTTAACGCCACCGACGTCGCGGTCGGACCGTGCAAATTATCGGCAAGAGTTGCCTCCGGACCCGTAAATCGTCAGTCGTTATGCTCGACGAGCGGGAAGAGAGGCAACGGAAAAAAAAAGAAAAGGAAAAAAAAATCCCGAGAGGAAACGGCGAATTCCAAGGGAGGGCCCGACGAGTCGCGACTATCACCCTCCTCGAGATCTTCTAACTTGATTACGAGCAATTATTAAATTGCCGTCGAAAATTAGTACGTAGAAATGTATTTTTTTTCCTCAATTTATCTATAATAAAAGGGAGGGAACGTTGCGCGAATCAATTAATTTTCGCGGGTGCGAGCGATTCACGCGCAGCGGATCCGATGGAGCGCGACGAGGCCCTCATTCATATTCCGAAATTCGGGAGCGGAATTTGTCCCTGGCCCTCCGATTACGCGGATTCCCGCGGATTTGCGCGAATTCGGGCAAATTCGCCCGAACTTACGCGGGTTTGCGCCAATTACCGCCGACCGCGAATCCGGCCGCGGCCGGATTGCGGAACTTCGTATCAACGCGAGGGCCTGATAACGTAATTCCGCGACTGGCGGAGCCCTCCGGACGCGTTCTCGATCTCGAACCTTCGCCCTGGCTTGGGCGAAAATTCTCTCACGTCGCGAAACATCTCCAACTTTATCGGACTCGTGTCGGACCAACGTAACGTTTCTACACAAATCGATCCCCAATTCTCCCCTTCGGTATCGCGCCATTTCCTTATCCGAGAATAAAGGGAGAACAAAAAATGGGGGGAAAAAATTCGCAAAGGTCGTAAACGAACAAATTCCACTCGTCGCAACTTGGTCGCGAAAACGGTCTTGGCGGTTTATTTGCGCGCGTAAGGGGCCTCTAATCTAACTTTCCACCGTTTGAGAGTTTACCGACGAAATTAGTCCCTCGCTGCTTCTCGGGCTTATGACGAGGAGTTGAAACTTTGGCGTGAAAATTATTCGATTCCGAGGGAAAGCTGTATATATTTTTTTTTTCTTTTAGACATCTTCCGAAGAAGTGGCTTCTAACCTCACCATATGCCTCGGCTACTACTCGAAGGCACGAAAATCCATTGTCGCGTTAAATTTAATTTCAATTCCTCGATAAAGCCATTTCTCCGACTCGCGTTCGATATTTTGGAAAGCGGAGCTTATTTCGGGGTTAATCCGACTCGGCGTCCTCGAGAACGTCCTTTCCCTTCGCGAAAAAAATTCTTGGGTCGTTCCAGTTATCGAGAGCTACGCGTCGAGCAAACGATCCGGCGAGTTTCGAGTCGTAGAGACCGACGGATGTCAAAAGTAAGCCCGCGATCTCGCATGGCGTAGAAATTCCGCAGGAATTCCGCCGAAATTCCGGCCGGCGCATCCGGATTTTCGCGAATTTGCATAATTTCAAGCCGGAAAGGGGAGCGAAGGGGGAGACGTATTTAGCGCACTACCGAGAATTACCGATTCCGCTATTTACGTTTAATAATCCGAC